TGGGACTGCTGACTGGGCTAGGTGGACTACCACCACTTGACCACTTGCCTCTGCTGAACACAGGCCAACTCCGAAAGGCCACTTCTAGAAGTCTCGAACTTGGCCTTTCGGTACTGTAGCAGCTGCGACTTTGCCCTTTCAGGTAAGTAGCAGCTACGACCTTGACTCTTCAGGCATCCTACAGCTACGACTTTGGAACTGTCTAGACTCCTACCCTACAGGTCTACAGTTCGATTCCCTTCTAAGCTGTGACCTACGAAACCCTGCCTACCACTGGCGATCCTACAGGTCGCGGGTTCAAATCTACGGGTTGACATCAATACTGTACACAGGTAAGATAGGGAACTAGGGATCGAGCCCTGGGATCTGCATTCGCTACTGCGAACTGGTGATTACCGTTTCAATTGGGCCGAGTGCGAAGCTTGGGGCTTGCCTTGGTCTGGTCACGTCTTAGGTTAGATTCGCAATTTTGTTTGGCTGAGGGCTAACCGAGAGACCTACCTGTAGTGGAAATTCGTGAGGGACATACCTGCAAATTTGGGAAAATAAAAGCCCAACACTAACTGAATTTCCTACTGCTACCCTAACTGCGAATAGCCGGGTAGGTAGAGGCCGAGAGGCCGAAATTGGAACGGTACCGGTCGGGCCAGTCAGTCTGGTCTAGGTCTAGGCTAGAGTAGTAGAGCTCTATGAATAGATTACGAAAATCGATTCAGGGACTTTTGGCTGTTCATTTCGGGAAGCAGCGTTTGGAGAAGCCAAGCAAGTTGGCGGTGGCAATTGTCTACAGGCGGCATCCTGAGACCCTTGCTGTGGACGGCAGCCATAGCCGGCCTTCCGAAGGTTGCCGGAGCTGGGGCATCCTCAGCGCATCTACCCCAGAGGGTATCTGCGTCTGGCCAGGCTATATCGAGGCTCCTCACTGAGTGTTTGTGGGTGGCGGCACCCATAGCTGCCGGTTTCTTCGTCAGAGTTGTTCATCGGCACTGAAGACTTCATCGTCGGATCTGTTCTCCATCTGGGTGGTTGGTGCTGACCTCTGGGAGGCTATTTCGGTTGTGCGCTACTAGCTGGGTGTAGGAGAGAGAGTGGAGTGTGGGGTTCTGAGTGTGGCGAGATACTGGACAAACTCTGTAATGATATATAATTTAATTGGCTCTTCATCAGTGTGTATTCCAATTGTTATCCTTGCAGGTTTCTTCTTGTGATTGGTTGTTGGGAGTCTGTCAGAGAGTGAGAAACACGCAGTGTCTTCTCCCCATCTGTGCATGGCTGAACTTCCGCTACATACTCTGATCTGTGTACAGTTGGACTCTGTCTCCTCTCCCCCTTCTCTTATGCATGTATGGGCGTGTATGAGACTGTCTGAGTGTGAGTGGCGGTAAAAATCGTCAGACAACCAAGTTCATAACAGAGCACTAAGTCCTCTACTTCAGCGCAACCTCTACGGTTTGTCGCTTCTGCAGTTATCTGCGGTGGAGGCCATGCTCTACTGCAATTGTGTGGGGGGCCGTCGCGCTGGGAATCTCAGTTTGGCACCCGTTGTCAGAAGTTGGGTTGTTGAGGCAGCGCGTCATTGGAAAATCAGGATTCTTAAAGATCAACATCCTCATGGTCCCCTGTAAATCCCCTGTACATTCACGTAGATGGCACTAAGGAAGCTGTATATAGTGGGCATCGCCGATGTTTCGCTTGCATGTCTTACCGTCAGATTTTGGCCGTGAAGTTGTGGAAACTATTGTTCTTCAGTTGGAGTAAGTTTCCTTTTGCGTGTGCTCCTGGTCATTGAAAAATTGACATCTACTCCTATTGTTTGTGATTGTCGGTGCACACGTTTGGGTCCAGGACGTGTGGTCAGATCTTGGGCGCCCGGATGGAATCTATCCTAAGCAGGTGGAGTCTCAAGTCCCCTTTCTTCCTTCATCCTCCTCCTCTGTGCTTGCTATGGTGCTTCACTTCATTGTCATGAACAGTTCATTTTCAATCACAATGTCACCTATGTACCCATCTAATCAGCAGATTCAGCACCCATACCTGCTGCTCCATGTAGGAAATTGAGAAATCAAAGAGCAAGGCCAGGAGATCATTTTGTAGCAGAGCAGACCTTTACAGAAGCGGAATCCATGCCCTCTCGTCCTGCGATTCCTGTAGCTCTTTGAACCCCATGGCCATTACACAATACAGGCCATTAGTTCAAGCAGTCCTTTGGGGGGGGGAGACCATGGCTGTCAAAGTCTCTTCAAAACCACAGAAGCATGATCCGAGCTGACTGCTGAACCTCCCTCAGAGCTCCACATTAGCGAACAGCCTCGTCTTTCCTGCTACTTGTGCTCCACCCCTCCTAGCCGTGTGTATACGCCGAGAGACCAGTGGCTAAGGTCAATGGCCTTGTAGCCTAAATTTTGAACATATGCCCCTACTTTCTGGTTTTGTGATGTTTGCATGCCTACCCTTGTCTCAGTAGTTTGCCGGTTGTCCCTTTGTCCCCGCGACGTCACCAATCCTAAGTGTCTAGGATTTGGAGTTTGCAAACTTTCACTTGCTGTCCTTCATGATGCTCTGCGTTCCCATCTTTCCTCACCCCTCCTTGGTAGGGGGGTTCAAATTCTTGGTCTGTTCGTCAACAATTAGGTGTACCATTCAGCCGCATGGGCTGGGTAACTCCATTTTCATCCTCACCATCATTCAACCTTTCCTCCTCCTACCCCATAGCTGCAAAGGTGTTGCTACGGCAATACTGAGTACGATTCTCATTATTTCTATGAAATTCTATCCTTTTTTGGTTGTACATTCGGAGGAGGAAAAGGAATGGGTAACCACGCTAGATCTCGGCGAAGCTTTGCAGGTTTCCCTCAATGACGGGCATAACCCAATCCGTGATTCTAGATCGTACTGTGGGATGGCATCATTGGTGACTCCCGATCATATTAATGGATCATAGCCTCACCATTGTTTGGCTATCCATCGCTTGATTCTGCAGTCAGGTGGTTTGTCCCCCTCTCGAAAGACAAAACCTTGTGGGCCTGGCTCCATATCCATTCCGGCGAGCATCAGTCTGGTTCCTTTTCCAGTGGCAAGGTATCAGAATACGACATTTGACTCAATTGCACTCCCTTCCAACAGAGCGAGGGAACGCTGACCAGCATTGATTGCTCTGTCCGAGGTGCATTAACTGCCGCCAGCTGGCCTTTTCTTTCATCAACTGCTTCGTGTTCCTGATTAACAGGGACTGTCAGATCAACTTGCTGGCAAGTGCTCTTAGAAAGTCAAGGCTTTTGCTTTGTGGCTGAGCCGAGCTCGTCTTTCGAGGTGTTCGGTAGTGTAGACTGAATGTCGTGTCCAAACAAACAGGCACTGGGACTCCTTGTGTCAGGTTTGCTTGATGACAAACCAGCCCTGTGCCAGTCTGAGCATTCGAGCTGGAGCTCATGGTGGATCTCCACCTCCTTCCCATAGGCCAGCCAAAGCTGCCTGGATTTTGCTTTTATGGTTGCTTGAACTTGCTTCTGCCATTAGGCTCTGTTGGATGGTAATCTTCATCTTGCGTGATCGGCATTTTATTTCAGCTTCGCTGAGGTTTTTGGTTGCCAACTTGCCGCTCATACTTGTTTCCTCTGGTTCCTGGTTCTCTCCAGGGTGATGCTGCACCTCTCTTTCCATGTAGCCCATAGAGTCACTTTCATCATCAAACCATATCACAAGCTTTCTGGCTTGTTAAATTTGGGAGCGATTTGAGTAGACAGAGGAAGTTGTAGGTGTTGTTCTGAGAAGGGGGAAGATAACAGGTGGCTCCACAGGTTACTTACTGGCTCTTGGCCTCAGGCGATACACATTGTAAGATTTCGCAACCTCGGGTGACGCAACTGATGCAAAGCGTCGAGGAGCCTATGGCTTCCATGACAAGTCAGGTCGCCTGCAAGCATTAATGCTGCATTATCACCGGGAAAATGACACAAATGATTGGCCTTCTCTGGAGCAAGGGGTCTTTGCGTAGGAAGGAGGCTTATGGCTTCCATGACAAAGATAGAGATTGGTAGAGCCCGAGCGTCCCCCTGTCCTGACTGATCTTGAGATGGGGTGTTCTCAGGTGAGAGGCCATTAATCTGAACGCAGCCTATGCCTTCATTGTATAGTATCCCGACCGGTTTTCTGAAGTTGGGGCATGCCCCATTTTTCCCATGCCGGCGTTGAGAAATGACCAGTTGACTTGGTCATAGGCGTTTTCAAAATCAAAGAAGCAGATGGGTGTGTTGAACTGTGTTCATGCCTTTTTTTTTTCTTTTTTTTCTCTTTTTTCCCCGAAGGGCCTTTTGGAGGCTTCATTCAGTGTCAGTACATTATCAAGGAAGTGTCTACCTGGAATGAAGTCCGCCTGGTCGATGTAGAAGCATTTGTCCGTTAGGTTGAGAAATCTGCCAGCGCTTTGGCCAGTATCTTGTTGCCAGGGCGAGGTGGGATATATCATATTTGTCTATAGTGTGTGATATCTTCCCTTTGCCCTTTCTTGTAAAGGTCACAACTTTACTGCCGAGGGTAACTTCCCCAATCCCCTATTCACTCCGATGTCTTTTGTGAAAGGCCATGAGACCAACACCCAAGGCCAGCCAGATTTTTTCCCAAAAAATTCGTTTGTGAGTCCATGTATGTGTTACGGACTTCGCCAGGGCTCGATCCCTGGTCTATCTTTTGCTGTTTCAGCTGCATCCCGTTTTCGGCCTGGCACCCTTTTTCCAAACCCCT